GCTAAGAATGGAGGCATACGCTTCCTCCTCGGTGTTTGGAGATGGGTATCCGGGGCCTTTCCTGTTGGGATCAGGAAGATACAGAGCATACGTATTAGGATATGATTGTGCATTCCATATACAAACCCGAGCCATTCAACGCGGCAACTCATGTGCACTGAGAAGCAGCCGGTCGCACAATGAGGCGTAGGCAGCCTGACTCAATGAAACAACAGTTCAACAAAAGGCCTTGTGTCCAGCCAGAGGCTTCAATATCCTGCTGAGGGTGCGATATGTGCTGACAACACAGGCGGGAATCCAGTTTGGGAGGAAAAGTCATGTGGGACTTACCCACTTGCACCCCATAACTCTTTCTGTGGTTGTGTTAGGAATGAGTGGGTGGCTGTTGTGGGGTGGGTGAAGGGGCTGGGGGGGACGGACTTGGTTGAAGCTGAGATGTTGCTACATTTTATCAAGCTGTTGAGGCACTAGCCACTTTTAGGCAGTTTCTATCCATACAGACATGCATTTAAGTGTGTTTTTCACACACAGCTCGGCAAATTGCTGTCAATAGGGAATCACACATTGGGATAATTAGATGCCTGCCAATGCGCAACTATTAAATACTGACAATTGCTTTCAACGCAACAAAGTAGGAGTAACAAGTGTTAAAATTCACAGCCCCCGTTCTGGCTTTCTGCTATTCCCTTTCAAACAGCCGCCTCTGTTCAACCCACCCAGCGAAATGGCCAAACGTGATGTGACAATATAACGGGCAATGAGAGAGGCTTTTTCCCAATTGTGTTCCTGCTGTATCTGCGTTCTTGCTCGGCTTCAACAAGACAATGTGCAACTGGTCAATCAACCCATCTATGTATTTAATGAGAATCCAAGCAATCGACCTTTCGCTCAGCTTCATCCACAAACGCAGACTGGCCAATCACAGCAGTCATTAAACATTATTTTCTCAATTAAAGAAATGCTACAACACTATTAATATCCTATTTACTGTAGACAGTATTTTGCCACAGAAATGAAAAACTATTTTCACAGTTTTTCTGCCACATTGACTTTAGTTATGAAGTGGTTTGGTTGGAGAATTTGGTGTTTAAATATTTACAGAAAAAAACCCAACTAGGAGCGACAATTAAACAGCTTAATACAAGCACCTTTTTCATCTTATTTGAACAACGCTACGATTTTCATCCATTTTAGATGGGTCCGGAACGTATCCACCGCAGTTCACTAGCTTTGTCTATTTCAAAGTAAACAAAATACTTCTCTTATCAAAAACATACAACTGGTATTAGTTAATTGTATACAATTAGAATAAAATGAGAATATGTGGTTTAGTTACAGTACAATATGTGGCGCGAGCAAGCTTTGCCATCTAAGCTAACAGGGCTAGCTAATAGCTCATGATTGTAAAGTTTATACTGTGCAGGCATATTTCTTTTTACGGTTTCTCTATCATCAGATGAGGAGGGATTTGGTCTTAACGAAAGGCCAGTTCTGATTGACAAAGCCAAGGTTTCATTGAGCTTTGAATATTTTGTGATATATTTGTTGTCTATAAATGTTGGTAACTTTGCTTTTAGAAAAGTCATTTTTAGTACAAAGCACATATGAGATTTTAGTAAAAGATTCATGCAGCCTACCGGCTAGACATCGATATTTGGACCAAAAATGGCACGACTGATAATGATGACCGTCACACCCATCCGTGAAAAGTTACATACACGGAAGGGAGTGTTGATGCCGTGAGATTATAAACGGGGATGAACTGTCTCTCAGATTTCCCTTACCACCCTATCCCATGAGGCTTGGGAGCTACGATCGCCTGGAATGCTGCCACTGACGTGCTCGTTACCGCTGCGGTTGGCCTCGGAATTGCCAAGTTGGACCGGCCTGAGCTCGCCGAAGGGAAACGGTGAGGGATGCCTGAAATCAAGCCGAGGTCTGCGGGAACCCGGCAATTAAAATTCTCCACGGAATGCTGATGCGGTGGAAGAAAACCAAATGACTTTTCAGCATGCCCAAGACCGAAGTCAAACCGAGGATCAACGTGGGGGAGCGGCAGGCCAGAGAAATGCGGAGGCTTGATTACATGTGCTCTGACAATGGATGGCACGGCACAAAAGTTTCCTTGTATCCACACAATGTGGGAGGAAGCCGAAACAAATCGAGTGGAGTGTGTGTGTGTATAGTGGCCACGTGGCTATTGTGGGTTGCTCCGCCAAGTATCAATGTGAAGAAAATATTGTGTGTTTGCACCTCAGAGACGGCATAGCTTATATTGTTACAATTCGAAAAAAAGTTTTTTTTTTTTTTTAAACCCCTTTGCAAATTTTGCATGTGGGCCCTGGCCCACATGAAACTATTCCACATTGCGTCAGAATTTAGCCAGCGCTCATTGGTGATGGCCTCATCTTGGTCATGCGGGGGCTTGTTTACCAGCAGAGACAATGCAAAGGGTAATCAGCACCACCTGAGCTGAGTGCAGTCCATATGCTGAGCAGACCAGGCCACATAGAGAAGAGATGCTCCATTGTTCTGCGCAGGCAGGGGATTGTGACAACTCATCCCATTGAGTCGTACTTTCAGTAGGACCAACAGGATGTAGATGCAGCTTTTCACCAAGGGTGAAATTCGAGTGGGAGGTGTGCGGGTGTTGGGGACACTGCCGGGACGTGTTGTCTTTAGCACCGCAAGTCCGTCAACACGCGGGGTGTGACGTTGACTCTGCTGCAGTGGGCACAAACAACTTCAGTCACAAGTCTCACAGTGGCGTTTATCTGGGAAAAGACTATCGACAGGACATCAGCGCATTTTGCTCACTCTAAGCGGTCACATATAGTGAATGAAATATTTTGAATTTGATTAAAGCAACCTTAAAAGTCTTCAACGTGCTTTTCTTGAACCCGTGGATAGTCTGTAGTCACGAACAAAACTTAACTTGGCAATTCTACGGCTGTGGAAAGGAAAGACAACAAGAAAAGTACTATATGTGAAAAGTCTCTACCCAGCATACAGCATATCATAGTCCACAACGGGAAAAGCGCCTCAGAAAGGAGAAGAACTGACTCCGAAGAGATGAATAACATGCAGGACTGTCACTGTGAAATATTTTTACAATCGATTATTATAATCGATGAATCAAATAATATTTTGTATTAAAGTGTGTTATCAAACTTTTTTAAGCAATTATTTGCCATTTACAACTAAAGAAGATAACCAATATCACAAGAGGGCAATTAATGTTGTAGGCCTCCTCACCAAACCTTTTGAAACTGATTTGGTTTCCGTCATTGTTTTCCAAAGTAAAAGCAGATGTTTTCAAATGTCTTACTTTAAAAAAAAAACAAGATAACCAGTTTGCTTTCATGAAGAAGTAAAGAAATAAGAGAATAAATTACCTTTGTGAGGCTGAAATCCGAGGCTTTGGACAACTTTCAGTTAAACAACGGCTCTAATTTCGAGGCTTTGGACAACATCCAGTTAAACAACGGCTCCAAACAATTACTCAAATATGAAAACTATTCTTGATTAATTTGATATTCGATTAGTTGTCGACTCAATTGTGACATCTCTAATGACATATTTCAACCATTGTGCACACTGTGATTTAAGAGTCATTGATGGCTCTTTTGCATTACCAATTTACGTTCCGCAAGAATGCTTTAAAGTCTGTTTGCTCTTTTCGACTAACATGGTAGTGTACTTGTGCAACAAAGTAAATGCCTCCAAATCGAGTAGGATTTCATGTACATTTTAAGTTAAGGAAATAACAAAACAAACTATTGTGATACCTGTCTAGAGAAATACAACGTACACATGCAGAAACGCTACTAGACTTGTTCTTGTACGAATACTAATAATAATCAGATAAATCCAATGTTGACTTACCGTTTTCGTTCTTCTTCTTCACGCCGTCATTACCGGTCCATCAGCAGTGAGACTTTCTCCAAAGAGCTGGTGGTCAAATGTGAAAGCAGAGCCGTTTAGGATGTTCCAGTCCACTCTAAATTACTATTTGAAGGGGAAGTACATTTTAGTTTGGTCCAACTAGCCCATTAAGGTCACGGTTACTGTACTATTTAGACGATCTTGTATATAATGACGTAATTACAATCGAAAAACAACATACTTCCCTTTGTGTTTACGAAAGAAAGGGAACAGGAATCATCTTATCACGAGGACTTCCACCCCTCCTTGTTGTGTTCGGAATGGTTCGGTCTGACTGCAGATTTGAGACACGCTTTAGCCTTTTGACTTGTACACGCGACTAGTTGAGGTGACGCCTGCCTTCTTCGACCGTTTTATCTTTGCTTTTGCTCCTCTACAGCTGTTTGGACTTTAAAAAAGACTAACAATACACTTCAATGCTCATTCTCTGGGAGTAATAATAAACTACGTATTAGTGTGTTATTTTATTTGATTGTCTGAAATGAAGCCCTGGGTAATCATTATAAATACATTTTCATCCTTAAATCAGCTGCTCACAATTTTTGAAGATGCCACATTACTGTCCAGTTGTGTTGAGACACTTGACAAAATAATGTTGTTAAGTATTGATCAAGAAGATTTACAGTAGGTCGTTCACATTAATAAATGCAGCAAGCTTTAATTCCTGCATAATGCCTTAAACCTGTGGATAAAAAATCTTTGGGAGTTTTCAAGGTTTTACAAATAGTTTTAGACTCTGAGCCATTATTAACATGGTCCTTATTAGCTAGTGTTAAAAAAATAAAAATAAACAATTTAAACATACATCTGAAATGAACCACTATAAGTGATGTGGCTTTCCCTTATTTCGCCAAATGTCTCCAGTGCCTTAACCGGACCCTTGGGTATCCCCGGCTTGTGTGTCCTGAAAAGCCTCCTCCAGATGGTCCGCTTTCTCCCTTGGCTCCGTGAAGGAATGAAAAGATCAGCTCATTAAACAAAGAGTCATATCCATGTGAAAGAGAGGTACGAGTCCTCGGGGAGACGAGCTTGGCATCCAATAAAACACCAGCGAGTCTCTGTGAGCCATACGCTTTATTTTCACTGCACTCTTGGAACAGCAAAAGTTGTGACAGAAACCTTTCAATTTTTCACTTTTGTTTAGACATATATATAGTGTTTTTCCAAAACATCCTGAAAACATCTCATGAAAGAGGTGTAGCCCTTCCACTGCTTCGTAGTAGTTGATTTGGGTTCAGGTTAAATAACACCCTGACAGTAAAAAAGCACATCAAAACCATTCACTCAGCACACGCAAAGACAACTGTGAGGAATACTTGAATGGACTGTATCGAACTTTGTGTTTCCCGCCATTAATGACTCCTGGTTCCACGTTGGAGACGAGAGCCAGTGAATAACATGCACTGATGGCGGTTGCATGGCCAGCACTTCACTGCTCGAACATCTGCGTGCGTCTCAGATTGTCCTTTACACGAACAAATTCTGGTATCTTCTGCTGGTTCTCCCTCTGCCTTATCTCCTCCTGCTCGTACTGCAAAAATTAAAAAGCAATGCAGTTTCGTCACTCTCCCACCGCAGCAAGACTATGACATTAAACAGACCATACAGTGATAGTCATCCGGGAAGTCATAGCGGTCACACTTAAAAAGTGAATGATTGATATCCATGGAATACCGTTTTTTTAAATGGCAAATTCTCAAAACAAACAAAGTTTGACGCCATGCCCCGCCTATATTAGACAGCATACACCAAAAAAGCTTTGCAACTCAGCGTCACCCGTTTGTTTAGGACATCAGCTTTTGACTTGGACTCATTTGTCCTCATGCTTTTACATGGATTGGTGAAACTATTTCTTGCCATCTTTTTTTTAACTTTCCAGGGGATGCCACTGGGTTCCCTTAGCCTCAAAAAGACTTGTCAAGTTTGCTTGTGCCAGCACATTTATATATTTACCAAGACTTGTCTCCATGCCAACAATACATTGACAGCCTGTGACCGGGTCAGTCAGAGTTCTCTGCTGCAAGTGCAAGTTTTAACTTGCATTTTTGCTTTTGAGGCAATGCGCATATTATTGACACCTTATACAAAAATAGCATGGTCCAAGCTCACTAAAACAGAAGCGGACGGTGAAAATCGACAATTCAAAAATGAATGGACTGATACATTTTCATTCATTTTCCCCTCCAACCAGAACAAGAGCATGTGCTTAATATGCATGACTGAAGTGATGGACGCAATGATGAAAGACAAAGAGAGGAAATGACAGCTAAAATTAAGCAAATCCTTCTCTCGGTCTTATGCACACCCGACACTGTGTGTGTTGCAACAGCAAACTCAGAACTGTTGTTCCCCCACCCCCCAAACATACATCCAAACTAATCAAGAGAAGCTTTATCACGGAGTAAGACAATGACCCAAAACAAATTGCCAACACAGCAAAGGACTTCATCAGGGGAAAAAAACTGAAAGTTGTTACAGTAGCGAAGTCAATCACTGGACCTTAACCCAACAGAGAATGCATTTCAATTCCTGAAGAGGAGCCTGAAGGGAGAAAGCCCCAGAAACAAACGAGAACTGAAAGACTGCAGTAAATGCCTGGAAAAGCATTTCATATGAAGACTGCAGCAGTCTGGCGAAGTCACTGGGTTGCAAGCTTGATGCAGTGATTCAAAGTCATGGTTAGGCCACCATATATTCAATAATATTTATTTTAGCTTCATTTAAAGTGTACATACATACATACATATATATATATATATATAGAGAGAGAGAGAGAGAGAGAGAGAGAGAGAGAGAGAGAGAGAGAGAGAGAGAGAGAGAAACTGTTTCTTTTTTTTGTAATATCCTCAAACACGTGAAATGCTTTCCTTTCATGCCACACATCGGCCTCTTTCCTATCAATGGGTGCAGGTGAGAGTGCTTGGAAGTGAGACTGTACAGACAATCGTCGGTGAATCTGCAAAGATGTTTTCAGGAACAGTATAGTAACACGCTCTGCAGTGTGGATGTATTGTGGGGTTTTTCTTGGTGGTGGAGGTACATATTGTGATGTTATGGCGTTATTAGATCACGAAATACCCACTGCAGGCCCAGGTCCAAAACTCACCTACTGGTTAATCATCAAGTTACAGTAGCTTCAGACAAGACAGTTATTCACGTGGCAGCTTACACAGGAATAAAGTGGCTCAACTAGTCTCCCGTTGCTATTAAAATAATCTCTCTTGAAATTTTGTAGACAAAAAAATAGCATCATGGATCCAAGGCGGAGGAAAAAGCAACCGGCACCGCTTCTCAATAGAGAGACAGGTGGAGAGGGTGAAAACTTTCAAACTCTTTGACACCCAAATCAGCGATGACCTCACATGAAGCCAAAACATACTGCACATCATCAGTAAGACTAATAAAGGATTGTACTTGTTGAGGAAGCTGAGAAAGTATGGAATTCACCCTCAAACTACTCAGCAACTTTTCCAGCTACACAGTCAAGAGATTCCTGACCAACTCGATCACTGGCATGGTAACGATACCATGTAGCACAGGGGCGAATCTCCAGCGTGACATGAAAACTGCACAACACATCTGTGGCGTAGCCTTCACTCCTACACAACATGTGTGACAACCGTGTCACAAAGAGGGCACAGAACATGATCAGACACAGCACACATCCACAACACACATTTTTCAAACTTCTCCCATCTTGCAGATAATACAATCGCATCAAAGCCAAAACATCAAGATAAACCTACAGCCTCTACTCACATACCATTAGACTCCGAAAACAAATGAGATTACAATCTGTCAACCGCATTGGAGAATATTTTAATTCTAACCCTGCTCACTTCAATGTTGACACTGTGCATTACCTCTGCAGCCTGCAATACATGCTCCTGCAACTTTGCACTTTACATACAGTAATGTAATTTTTGGTACTAACTAGACCGGGGCACGGTGGTTGACTGGTTAGCACGTCAGCCTCACAGTGCAGAGGTGCACGGTTCGATTTCGACTCTAATGGACCTTTGACTCAAATGCTTATTGCATGAAAATCTATTTAATGGATTTGACCTCTGAGACTTCTATCAAGTATAGTGCAGGCTTAAAAAGTTTTGGACACCAAAAAAAAAAAAAAAAACGCTCTCATACAAAATGTCTAGAAAGATTTTGGCTGTATTGTTTGTGGCACAACTGGAATAAGCATCATGGAGGCAAAAAGAGAACCGCCACACGAAATCTTCAAAACGTGGATAAAAGCTCAATATCTATGAACTATCTGCCAATGTGAGAGCAGCGTAAACACGCAGATTTGTTGTATCCCATCAATGCCATCCAGTCATCAAAATGCACAGTGAGCTGGCTTATACACGTCCTTCCTTGCACAGACAACAAATAAACAAGTTAAACAGCAACCAGTTGAGTAAAACATAAAACTAAGGTTTCCTCCCACATTCCAAAAACATGCGTGGCAGGTAAATTCATCCATCCATCCATTTTCCACCGCTTATCCGGGGTCGGGTTGCGGGGGCAGCAGCTTCACCTCCAGGCCTGGCTCCAGAGGGAGGCCCCGGTGACCCGCGTCCGGGCAAAGGAAACTGAGTTCCATTTATTTTATTCATCATAAGGGGTTCTTGAGCTGTGCTTTGTCTGGTCCCTCACCTAGGACCTGTTTGCCATGGGTGACCTTGCCAGGGGCATAAAGCCCCAGACAACTTAGCTCCTAGGATCATTGGGACACACAAACCCCTCCACCACCACCACCACGGCTCACGGAGGGGAGGCAGGTCAATTGTTCACTCTAAATTGTCTCTAGGTGTGAGTGTGAGCGCGGATGGTTGTTCGTCTGGCAAAAGTGGCACCAAGCTTAGAGCTTGCCTTGACCACCTACTTCCCACGCGGAGGTGATGTAACGTCACATGCGTCCAGTCCAACAAAGCTTTTGGGCACTGTCTTGGAGGTTGATTGTCGGTTTTGCTTTTCAATGTGTGCCTCACATTCTGTGATACGAAACCGCTTATTTCAGCAGGAACTTGGAGAGTTTTTCATGTGAAGGGGAGTATCTCTATCTTTTCTCTTTTGCGCTCCTGACCTCTTGCAGCTTCTGCTGTCTTTTGCGAAGCTCCGTCTCCAGATCCGAGGGCCGCTGCTGAGCCATCTCCTGGTCCCTGTGCAGCACCAGTCGCCGCTGCTCCAGCACTCGCTTCAGCTCCGGCTTCTCCTCCAGGACAAGGCCCCTGCAGGCAGAGTCACAGCTTGGCACAAATGAAGTGAGCAAACAGAGAAGCTTGGCCTCGCGTACGTACCGCTTGTGACTGAGCAGCAGCTCTCGGTGCAAGTTCTGGTAGCTCGGTGCCTCTACAGAAGAGCCGTTGACTCTCCGGGGCTGAGTATCACTGCTGCCGTCCACCGTGCACAGACTCAGTGTCTGTGCGTGGCTGAGTGGCGTGTCTGAGAAACATGCATGTATCACTTCATGGACCTCATTCTGCTTTTAAACACTCTTCAGCTTCAAAATCACATTGACATTTGATGACCATTTTGCACATCGCCACACATTGACCAGCCATATAGAATTAATATTTTTCTAAAAATGCCTTTGTTCAAATTAAGGCCTTGTGGTACTCTCTGCAGTTGTTTTCTATGAATTCACCAAGCTGATACAACCCTTGTGACAAAACAATTAAAAAAAAAAATAATGTTCATTGTGTTCCTCGAAATAAAAATAAAATTGAGATAAATTGTACCAAAGTGTGAGTGTGCGCGCGATTGGCTGGCAGCCTGTTCAGAGAGTACCCGGCCTACTGCCCGAAGGCAGCTGAGAAAGGCTGCAGCAGGCCCCGCGACCCTCGTGAGGATAAGCGGATTAGAAAATGGATGGATGGATGGATAAAAAGTACATTTCAAGGCTGTCAATGGTAACAGTGCAACCAAGAGGCATTTCTCATATTTTGTCCCCGTCAGTCATGAATAAAGTGGCAACACATTTGAAAAAAATACATCAGTATAACGGTATTTTAATAAAATGTGTTAAGAAAAACAACTTCATTCGAATTGTTTATCAAAAAGAGACCACAGTGGGTGACTTGTTATAAGTTCACAAGGTTTTCATCCCACCGGCCATTTGGATTACACTGCTCTGCATCCACAAAAACGAAGAACAAAAAAACAAACAAACAAAAAAAAAACCAAGAATGACATTAAAATTTGCTAGATCTGTTTTTCGCACTGAAGACAGCTGTACCATTCATTTTGCCGCATATTTGTTTCCAGATTTTCTGCTTCACGCTGTCCGGAAGTAGTTAATGTTACCGGCACTTGTTTTCTTAGTGTTAGTGGATGTATATTATTTACAAAGTATATGTTTGAAGTGCATAGAAACTGTCCGTTTAGCTGAAACACCTGAAAACAGAATTACCGGTAATGCAATTAATTAAGTGACCACAATCTTCATTATTGTATGCCAAGTAAATACAAGTACTCTTCTACCCCTACACAGCTTTCATATGCCAAACAATACAAAATGTGATATTCATTTTAAAAAATGGGTTTCTGACATTTAAAAAAAAGACAAATTAGAAAGAATGAAAAAAAACCCAAACAAACGAAACAAAAAAAAAAAACAGTAGCACATACAGAAAAACTGAGATATTTGGATTCTACATCTGAAACCGCCTGAGAAAATGTTGTTGGCTACTTTATTTCCACACATTTTCTTTAAATGCAGAATGTTATCTATGAATTTATCGAGACCTGCACATTTTCCGAACATCATATATATCCTGTTGAAACACTGAATTGCCTCAGTCTGAACCTGTTCGACATACGTTATTAGTCTGTGCACAACTGATGGCAAAGAAAGAAGACTCATTTTAAAAATTCCCTCTTGAGGAGCACTAAATATATATTTCATGAGTGTTTGACGAGTGCTTTTAGATTGCTGTTTGATTACTATTTGTTAGATTTGCTTTTGTGTCTCAGGGTACCTTTCTGATGATGTCCAAACCCACCTCTCTGTGAGAGAGAGTGAGAGAGAGAGAGAGAGAGAGAGAGAGAGAGAGAGAGAGAATGGGGAAACAAAATGTGACATAAAAATGTTAATCTTTCTAGCCAGGCCATCAACATCCAACCGACTGGTTAGATGGGTCGTTGAAATCAGGGGACCCCAACCGC